GAAGCCATTTACCACTTCTTCCTAAATGACCCTGTCTCTCTTCTGGCAGCTGCACATTGTCCATTACAACTCAGCTGACTACTCGAGCTTTGAAGAAGCCAAAGACAAACCAAACGGATTGGCTGTGCTTGCCTTCCTGTATGTGGTAGGTTTGATGCCCAGGTTGCTGAGCAAGGCCAGGCTGTGATCACTATTTAATACTATAATTGCAGTCTAAGCAGGTCCAGACACAAGCAGCCTGTACTAGATTTGCACATGTATCCTAACAGATGATGTCTGCCACCACTCTGAGAAAGCTGTGCCACAGCAGAACTGTCCCTCCCTTCTGTCAGCTGGGGCTCACACAATACCAGTCAATACAACTTGGTAGCTTTGCTCTGATTTGCAAGTGGGAACACTTGACTTTGTGTGGATTTAGAAGTGGTGAAAAAGGATCCTTACAGTTCACTATTCTACCCAAGACCTAGGGGTACATACCTTACCGTGCTTGTCAAGAGATTGGTGACAGTATTTGTTCTCTTTGTCTCCCAATGCATCAATTAGTTCCTCAAGATTGTTAGTATAGGACAAGCAGGTCACTAACCTTTTGTTCAAGTTTCTATGCTGTGTTTAGGATGGGCACTTTGAGAATACCTACTACAGTGAATTCATTTCCAAACTGGCAAAAATCAGGTTTGCAGGTAAGACTGGGGAATGCTTTTCTCCATCCTTGACATTCTCAAAGCCTGTATGTGTGTACTGGGTTTGGGGCCAGATGTTTTGCTGCTGCCTTCCTTGCAATTATGTGGCTGAGCATCCTCAGCCATGCATGGCTCCACACCATCCCTGCCCACACATCTCGAAGAGCAGGGGTGTGTGGAAGATGCTCAAGGCAACAAACCTAGTCCTGGTAGGTCTATGCAACACACTGTAGCACCATCAAATAACACGTTCCCACCATCCTGCAGTCTGTGTGCCCGGGCAGCAGGCTCTCTGCACACCAATACACTCCGCTTCCTGGCAGAGCACTGAGGTGCAGTTGCTCACCACCTCCAAGACCCCAAGTACCTCAATGACAAACCACAGATCCACTAGAAAGGATCATTCATTTCCCTCCACCTTCACCCAGTTCTGCCAAAGTTCTAATACACCAGTGCTTTGGGCAACGTTTGCCAACCCCAGCCCTAACACCACTCTCACCTTTCTCTTTGTTCCCCATCAATTGTTAATATTGCCTCTGTTTCCTTTTGAGGTCAATCAACAAAGCTCCTTTCTCTGGATGTCCAAGCCATGCTGCCAGAAAACCTCTCACACTTCTACAGGTACCAGGGATCACTAACCACGCCACCTTGCTCGGAGAGTGTGATCTGGACCATCTTTCATTCTCCGATTGTCCTGTCACACACACAGGTCAGTGACAGCTGTTTACCAGACAGAACAGCTTCTCTTCCCTCCACAATCCACCTTTCCACACAAGTTTCCTTTTCTGTCCTCCTGTGAGTTTGGGAACAGCCTGACAGAGGAGCTAATAGGGCATTTCTCATACAGTGCTTTTGGGGTAGACTCCTAAGCAACTGGAGTTACAGGTGGCTTTAGGGACACTGTGATGCTACATCGCAGCAAGGGTCAGTCTCTGTAGAGCAGCAGTTTACCTGAGGTCTGGTGAGCGATAACAAAGCTCTCTGCTCAGTTAAGCTCAACCATACTATAAAAAGGAAGAGACCAGTCAGAATCAGTAAGGCAAAAACTACTGCGAGAGAGTCCAAACCCCCACCCCCTCCAAAAACAAACATAAAAGAGACATTCATAACATTAAAATAATTACAGAATAATTAGCACATTTTTAGAAGAGTATTTCGTTGGTTTTTTTTTTTTTGTCTTGCACACTATGCAGCTAGATTGGATCATTTCAAGAGTGGTCTGCTGTGGGTTTTGGCCGTGTGACAGGAGAGGGTGGGTCCAGGCTCCCGCAGAGCCAGCACAGAGAACTTTGTTGGTGCACAGGAGCACTGGGCAGCAACCCAGCTTGTCCCCGCAGTGGAATACCACCACATGGCAGAATCCCCTTCTCTGTCTGCTTTGTCAGGGCAAAGGCTTTAGCAGGGAAAAAACCAACACAAGTTAAACGAGCTGGCAGACTGGTTCATCTTAATGAAAAAGAAGCTTCAGAAACATTTTCTTCTAGGAGAAGAGCAAGATAAAGTGGAGACTACGGCATTGGAGGATCACAGTGCGTTCTCATTTGAAAAAGAAATACTTTTTTGGCAGGGGGAAAGGCTATTAGGTACTTGTGAGAAAGCAGTATGCTACAGAACAGCAGCAGAATCTCCATCTAGGCATACCATGAGGCAGGTGCTAAAAGCTTCCTTCAGGCAAAATGTCTTTATCATTAATTATCTGATAAGCGCTCTCGCGTTGTGTTCCTTTCCCTTGCTAATACTCAGTAGAGACCCTGTGGCTTCCTCTAGAACAAATCGCTAGGTTTAATCCTGAGCTGCAGGATCTGCACCGCATTCCTAGGCAAAACTGCCGTTCCGTGACCCGCCATAATAAGCCTGCGTTGCTCACAGATCAGCCTCCTGGAGAACACCTTGCTGGACTGGCAGAACAGGACACTGCGCAACGACTACCGGCATGTCCAGCCCCTCAACGGGCGGGTGGTGGAGTCCTCCTTCAGAGCCAAACCCAGCCCAGGTAAGGGGGGGCAGCAGGCAAGACAGGGTTTCCCCGGGAAGGGGCGAGAAGCCTGCGTGGAAGGAGTTAAGTTGCAAGTGCCTTCAGGTAGGCATGCTGGAGATCACCTTCCCAGGTGATGGCCCATGTGCCTCTAAGGTTGTGTGCCAGCCCTTTGTTTTGACTGCAGTGGTGTCACACAGCTCTCCCAGGATAAGGGGTGCTACTCAAGACCACCAGGTTCAGGTGTGTCTGCATCCGTAGGTACACTTGCTATCCTAGAAACAGCTCTGGCACGGCTGATTAGCCAGGCACCATATGGAGGTGAGACTGCATTTTAAAACAAATGCTTTCCCCAAACCTTCTACAAACTAGAAAACAGGAAATCTGCCATGTGCAAGGCCTGGCCTTCTGTAAATTCAGCCATCTGATTGCTCTAGAACAATGCCATTCAGAAGAATTCAACCTCAGACTGGAACAAATCCAGGTGCAGCTCCAAGACATGAAGACAGAGTTGCTGAATGGAGTGAGCCACATAGGTAAGAAACACACATCTATTCGTGAGCCCAGCTTACTTTCCAAGGATGAAGAACCCATGCCCTGCTAACCTTGATGGCCTAAACCATTAATAGGTTTGATGCTTATATGTGCAGGTAGAATTTGGTCCCATAACTACGCCTGCTGATGGAAATTCTTCAGCATCATTAGAGCTAGCTCTGATCTAGCTACTCTCACAGCGACTGCTGCTTTCTTCTGCAACATATAAGCACGTTTTTACAAAGTGAGAAATTTCAGCTCACAGCTCCCCTAGAATAATCATCGTGATTATTTTACACAAGATGAGAAAAGAGAAAGGGAGGGAAAAAAATTATTTTTCTAAACAGTTGGGTGAGGGAGCTAAGCTTTTCATCATCCCAAGCCCCTTCCCTGTTGATACACCACACATCAGTATCTGTGGCTCGAGACAGCTAAGACTGGCACAGCTCTGCCAGTTCCTATCGGTGCATTGGTCAGGATTGGGGCTGATGTATAAGGACAGCAAGAAATGTTAACAGCTGGCCTTTTGCTTATTTCAGGTATTAAATCCAGCACTTTTCCAGCTTTCTACTTCCCTGTGGAAAACATTGAGAGTTTTGTGAATGTTCATCCCCTCCATGATATGTCCCTCCAAGCCTTCACCTTATGTTTCTGGGCAAAAGCCCAACACGCTGGCAGTCAGACTGTTCTTTCGTACTCCACACAGGAGAGGGATAATGAGCTGGTGATGACTGTGGGCACAGATGTGGGACTGTGGATCGGAGGCCACTTCATCAGCTTCCCCCTGTACCACCAGGCACAAGGTTGGCTGCACTACTGCACGGCATGGACCTCCCAGTCTGGAATGACAAATTTCTGGCTCAATGGAGCAGCTGGTAAAGCAAAGAGTGTCCAGAAAGGGTATGTGAGCCAGGCTGGAGGGACGCTTGTCCTTGGGAAAGCCAGAGACACTCTTCTTGGGACATTCTCCAATGGTTTTACAGGTTGGATGACTCACGTGAACCTCTGGAGCCAAGTTCTCAGTCCTGCAGATGTTCGGGCACTTGCACTGTGCAAACCAGGGCAACTGCAAGGAGATATCATAGCATGGGGAGAAACTCCCATGACCCTCTTGGGGGGGGTGGTTCTGGAGTCTGACACCAGCTGTCAGTGACCCCACCTTTTTTTTTTTTTTTTTTAAAAAAAAAAAAAAAAAAAGAAATGGAGAAAAACTTCCGTTATTTGCTTGTTTCTGTTTGTATGGACTCACTGTGCACCTGGCAGTGTTTCAGGTTGTTTTCCCAAGAAAGCAAAGCCTCCATCCGTGGGACAGAAGCAAAGAAGAGCAGAACTTGGTGTAGTCCAACACTTTGCATAGTCACATCCCTCCCAGCAGTCTGATTTAGGTCCCCAAACATAGAACTTCCTACATGCCAAAGAGCCACTCTCTTTGGTCAAAGGAGCCACTTCCTCAAATAAAATTTCTCTCACATCCTTCACCCAGGATCAGTTTCTCACTCTGCATGTGTCCTTCCTTCCCATTTCTCACCATCAAATCACAATCCCTTCCCCTGCAGACATATCCCATAGGAAAAGGCACACAAAGCCCTTGCAGGAGAAGCACAGCTCCTACGCAGTCTCTGTGCTTTGCTCAGTAGCATGCCGTCTTGTCTGTAAATGCATGTAGAGACAGAGCATGCAAGCCGCTTCTTTTCCAGCATGTATATGCCGCAAGTTTGAGGGGAGGTATAAAACCCATTTTCTAAGGTTAAAGTAAATCATGGGAGGGATTATGTCTGTCAACAACACAAAATCAATCCCAGGCTATTGAACAATTCTGTTTTTTTTCACAACAGAGGGCTGCAGACCTGCAAAACAATTAATTAAATATAAATTATGCCATAATTGTCCCCCAAACCCCTTAAACTGATGAGGAATTTAAGAAATCCTCCATTTTTATCAGTGTGCACTTTCTTCCGTAAGTCAGCACTAGGCCTTAGACTCGGAGTTTTTCCAATCCAGTTTAGCCCTTGGGTGGAATGGTGCCCTTAGGGAACACAGCCAGAAACCAGCAGGAGGACCAAGCTCTAAATCATTTGAAGACTCATTCAAGTGGTTTCAAGGATGTGAGAGCTGAGTTATTTCAAAAACTAAATTTAAGCAACTCAGTGTAAGAAGTTAAAGACAAGTCTGAATATGTTTGCAAACACAGGCTCCAACCTGTATCCCACTGCACAGGAATCAACCTGAACTTGATTCCTGCAATGCAGCAGGGCGGTTCTTATGTTCTGAGTTCAATAGCATTTTTCTCTGGGGAACACCTTGTATCTCGGGGAGGGGACAAACAAGCTTGCATGGGCTCATGTGTACAGAGTAGGGATATGGGGATATTAAAGGATTAAGAGGGACTGATGCTCTTTGGCAACTGAAGTGTAAACACTAGGGAGCAAAAGGAGCTAAATAGCTCAAAGACTAGAGTGCCACTGGAACAAACGATTATAAATTGGTTGTTAAAAAGCATCAGCCAGATGCATGACTTCTAACCTCCAGGAAGCTTTGGAAGGACTCATCAGCAACAGCTGAAGACTTGGCTTGATTTGAAGGAGAGTGTTGGGTGAGCAGGGGGGGATAACATTACAGTGATATGCATTCCCAGTTTAGCAGGCCCTTGAAGCACACGAAGGACAGATGAGTATTCACAGGGTAAATGCCATTATCAGCCCACTTAACACATTACCTCAGAACTACTGACACTCTCTCCATCCCAAAGAACCAAAGGCCTGGCATCACTCATGCTGGACTCTCAAATACATGAATGACAGTTCCTCAGAGGAATATAGTGCACTCCCTGCACACAACTGACCAAAACCCAGCATAACTGCTGGCTGGTAACACTTGAGATCTGTCTGTCAGGACATCAGGGACACGCATCACCTTACGACACAGGTTACTTGACCACAGGAACTGAGCTGGTTAAGGACATTACCCTTTCCTTGTGACATATGCCACCAATGGGTCATTTGCCTTGGCAGTGGCTGTGCCATGAAGCAGAATGGACCTGCTAATAACTCATAACAACAGCAGTCTCAAGACACAACAACTTATTTGAAAACTCCTGCTGTGGGAAGTTTATAGAAGGTCTGGATGAAGATCAGTATCAAAGGATGAATGTATTTGTTCACAGGCTGGACGGATCCTGAAGAATTTCTGGGCCAGGCCAAACACTGGGCTGGGTCACAGATCACGGCTGAAGAATTCTTTCTTCCATGCCTGCCCACCTGGCACAGTGTGGACATCCTCAAGCTCTCTGTCTTCCTGAATCTCCACCTTGTTCCTCTTGGCCATGATCCTGTTGATTTCAATGAAGGTTTTGTTCTTCGTCTCAGGAACAATGAAGAAGATGTAAACTGCAGTGGCGACGCAGATGGCACAGAAGACGAGGAAGCTGTAGGGCCCCAGTCCAGCCTACAGCAATGAAAGATGACAGAGGAGGGGTCAGAGGAATACTCCAGTTGTGTACATTACACGATTTGGACAAGCTGAACCCCTGATGTGCACATATTTTAAGTTGAGTGACTAGAAGTTGGGGTGGTTCTAGATTCTGTCTTATACCACCACCGCGGATTTACTGTAAACCACTATGGATTTACTGGAAAAGGAGGGTGAGGCTCTGTTGCATAAATCAAACTAAAGTCACCAGCTCCTTCTGCACGGGCCAAAATCAGGAACTGTAGCAGTTTATAGGTCACTACTGCTGGGGATCAGTTTGAACTAGTGACCTAGAGATCAAGCGCTAAAATTGACTCCCTGAGACATGCCCCTCCTCGGTGGAAGATGGGGAATTTGGAATCTTTCCATGCTCCTGAATTCATGTAGGAAAATAACTGCTTTATTTTAAAGCACGTGCAACAGAGATGTGATTAAAAAAATGCTTATTAACATCAGTTTCTTATCCTTAATATATAATCCTGCATACAGGTACTGGGAACCAACTTGGGCATTTATAGCTCTCAGGACTAAAAAGGCTCTCTAAGAACACAGGGGAGAAGATACTGATTTTAAGCTCAAGTCTTGCCCTGTCATGTGATGGCACCTTACCTCCATGTAGAGGAACACAAGCCCCACGGTGAAGTTGCAGAGCCAGTGCACTAACCCTCCCACCATGAATGCTGCAGGCCGAGATGACTGCAGGAACATCTCGGTGATCATCACAAATGGAATTGGACCTGGAAGATAGGTGCATATTTGTAAATCCCAAAGACAATTCTTCCACTCTGGATTCCTAGATTGCACTGTTCATTTCAGTGGCAGGCAATGGTTTCTAAACTACTAGCGTTTAGAAACACCCAATAAATCAGGTGAGGGATTGAATAAAAAAAACAAAACCAGGACAAGTAAATGACTTTCCTAAGCTCACACACAGCAATCAGCCTCTTCTCTCTTATGGCTGCACCCTAACCATGGAACCATCTGCAGCACAAATTGTGAAATAAGGTTGATAAACACAAACTGCCTCTCCTGAGAGCACCCTATGAGCAACAACTACACAAGTCATTGCTTCTAAAAGAAAGAAAAGCAAAGAAACGCCCCAACACATGCAGGAGGTGGAAGAATGACTCCTGGAACAAGCCCTCAGGCCCATGCCCTGCCCTGTGGCACCATTAAGCAGAAACAAACCATGTTCCCATTTACGGGGACAGACCACGGGTCTGGCTGAGCCGGTGTTCTCCCTCCCGCCACCTCCCAACCCTGGCACTTGGATCTACCTGATGGCATCGATGGAAAAGGAAAGGTTGTATGTAATTCCATCTGCCAGTGAAACCTCACAGACATTTCAGAACCACACTGCTGCATCCAGCAAGGGTCTGGCCAGGCTTTCCGAAGCTGAACAGACAACTCTGCCATGCTGAGAGGGATTCAGGACAAAGCCTTTCCAATATCCACATCTGTCTGCACATCTCCTTTCTGCCATGTGATCTGCAGGGCCACGTGTATAACGTGAGTTCCTTCAAGTTTGATCTGTTGCTTACACCTGCAAGCACACAACATCTCTGCCCATCGGTAGGGCTATCTCAGCACAGTTTTGCTCCTCATCTCACTGGGGCCATCTCCAGCACAAGCACAATTGTGCCTTTGCTTTTCCTCTTGAAATCCAAATGCTCCCCTGCCATACAGAAAAGTCATTCCATCCCTTTGGATTAGCTCCACAATGATTTTGATCTGAAATTTAATGTTAAACTTCTCTTCACCCAACTTGTGGAGAAGACTGGACTAGGCTGTGCATACTTACTGGCTCCGATAGCATGTCCAATGATGTAAACGACGACACACACTATGCTGAGGTAAGACATCCAGGAGACAGTGGTCTGTGAAGAATTTAATCACACGTTAGAGGTGGTTCCTCTCTGAACATCACCAGCACATTCAAGGCACTATTTGTGTTCAGATGTGAAGGCATTCTAAAGCCACTGTCACCCTCCACTGCCAGGTATGTCCTAACTTACCCATGAGAATCACAGCCTGGCAATGATCCTTGCTTCCAACAAATGGATGCAACGGATATTATGAACGTGATGTACTTAAAGTAGTATTCAGCCAAGCAGAATCATAGCTTTTCTTGGGTTTACTTTAGGCAGATACACAAATACAGAGACCTTTCATACTGTCCTCTCCCCGCCAGGGTATAGATGCAACTTCAAAATATACCGATGGCTTGTTCCCTGGAAGGTCCAGAAACGCAAAGGTAGGATCACCTGAGCCAGTCAACAACACACCTGGAGATTGAGGGCCAAAGTTAGCACTGCGCAGGAGACAGAGCACAATCCAAAGCCAGCAAGGAGGAGGATTCTCCTCCCCAGGGATTCCACAATGAGAACCTGAAGGAGACAGAAGAAGGTGAAAAGTCAGACACCTGGGTCATAGCACTTCTTATTCCGGCAGGATTTATTAAGGTAGTCTCAGTCTGTTAAGAAATTCCGTGACATTTCCACCACCTACTGATGGACTGTGGGCAGGGAATCACCCAGGAACTGCAAAAAGCTGGATGCATCAATAACACTGAGAGAACAGCCAGGCCATTCTTCAGTACCAGACCCAGTGAGAACCGCATGGAAGCCCTGCACAGTAACAGTGAACAGCAAAAAAAGGCATATCAGCCTGGAGAGCAGAGCCTGACCACTTCTGAGGGACATGAGAAACCATCGTGATCAATCATTTTGGTTAGCAGAGCTGCCTTCAGCCAAGGGACAGTGCAGGGCATCTGTTGTGCAAAGCAGCTCACACTGTGTAAACAACACACCCTAATTTAAAAAGTGACAGATGGGGGAGGCTGGACAGGCCAGAACTTGAAGAGCCCCAACAGAAACTTACAGCGAGCAAAGTCATGACGACATTGATGGCTCCTATCGACACGGTGACATATTGAACATTGCTGCTTTCCACACCTGCCGACTGGAAGATTCTGTCTGCGTAGTAGAAGACCTGCAGAAAACCACAGCTGTGTTTACATGGGACCAAAGACGGAACACAGGAATCTCACTTTGGCTGCTTTTACCTCCTGGAACTGGTGCACAGAAGCCTGAAAGAGCTGGAGACGGTGGTGTTTGGATCCAGGCACAAGCACCTTACTCCAAAACCACCCAAACTATCCTTAACAGGACAGCTTGACTCTGTGTCTAGTACATGGGTGTCCTAGATTTGGTACTGGCCAGGGTCCACCCACCACAGTGTGACACAGAACCAGTGGCCCTGATGAAGGGGCACTCCTGCGTCCTAAGTGCTAGCCCTGTGCAGCACTGCCCCACAGCATCCACTCTCAAGTCCCATCCCTTTATTACTCCCCCCACAGGCCTTTCCCACTCACCGCATTAACCCCAGAGAGCTGCTGGCCCATCATCATGACAACGATAGAGATGAGCTGCCATCGCAAGCCTCTGAAGGTGCACAGGCTGAGTGCAGAGAAACGCCCTTCTTCCTTTTCTGACCAGTCTTCTTGGTACATTTCTTCTATCTCATCATCCACATCATTGCAGCCTCTCAGCTTCTGTAGAGCTAGTTGGGAAAGGAAGGTATGTTATGGACCCCAGGGAGCAGGTCTACGGGTGGGCTCTCCTGCTTCAAATCAAGACAGAACAATACGTAAGCCTTGGGCTGCAGCGCTTCCACGGTGGGAAGTCAGGGCTTCAGATACACAGAGAAAGGAGCAATGTTGCAGGAATTCCATTCACCAGGTCAGTGAAAAATTTCACACTTGCTTGCTTCACCTTAGATTGCTGTCAGTCACATCTCACAGTCAGATCCACCCCATTCCACCTCCCCTTTCATTAAAAGGACGATGCTGTACCTTGTCGTGCTCGCTCTTCATCGCCTTTTTGTATCAGCAGATATCTTGGACTCTCAGGGAAAAAGGGCAATGTAAGGGCCTGAATTAGTGATGGGATGCCAGTGAGCCCCAGCAGCAAAGGCCAGCCTGCAACACGTGAGACAAGACGACAACTGTGAGAAATCTTTCCCCAGTGGAGCCTGCTGAAAAGTCCTGAGCCAGGGCTTTACCTCCGGCATTCCCAAGGATGACGTTGAGACCAAGGATCTGAGCGACAAGGATCCCAACAGTGATGAAGAGCTGGGGTACTATCCCAATAGCACCTCTCAGATTTTTTGGGGACACTTCTCCAAGGAACATGGGAACCACATTGGAAGCCAGACCTAGTAGTTAGAGAACAATGTTAGACATGCAGCTGCCTGACATCAGCACACTGACCATCTTCAGTAAAAAGCCTTCTTCCCATGTGAGGCCAAAGTGATCCTTGCTGGACCACAGGACACGTGGAAACCTCAGGCTCAAACCCTTCTGCTCCACCTGAAGATTTAATGGCATCTTCTGGCCAGTGAATAAGTTGTGTATGTCTTCTTCACTCCTCAGTGGAACATGAGGACACAAAGCACACGGCATTGGTTCACTCAGCAGGTGGAGAGCTACAAAGTCCACCACTGCATCTGGTGCCCCCAGAAAGGCCCAGGAATCTAGCTTTTTCTGGGAGCCATTAGATAAATAAGTTTATACCACTACCTCTCTGTTCCTAAGTAATGCTGTCCCTTGGCCAATGCTGTCAATATTACACTCACATATCTTAAACTTAAGACAGAAATCGTCTCTGTGGCTAAGCTGCAAAGGCAGTCCCATGCTGGAGCTAATTCAAGGAGCCTGAATTTTTCACCCATTTTAACTGAAATACGGTAGGGAAAGAACCACACACGGATGATGGGCCTTGGGAGTGCAACCTGCCAAGCTCCTGGCGCTTTGGAGGTCTAGCTCATTAACTGCTCATCAGCAAAGTATTTAGGAGTCTAAGAAGGCTAGCAGCAGCTTGTCTTGTCTACAGAGATAGCAGATAATTTGGGGGCTCCAGCATTCATCTTCCTAGAAGTAGCTTTCTCCCAGCAGGGTCTGCCAAGTACTTCAACGCAATTCCTGCAGAGAAAAATTGTGTGCTACTTCAGCTTTAGAAACAAACTCAAAGTGTAAGAGAGGGATTTATACTACCTTTTAAAGAAGTAAAGAAAGCAGTATCCAAACAAGATGATGCGAGGGTGGAGAGATGCAACTTCTTGCTGGCTTTTAAAAATTCACTACTCATTTAATTGCTCATTAACATTTCACAGAGACCTTTGCTGCTTTGAGATCTCTTACAGGTCGCACGCTCGAATAGGTGGTGCAATACACACACATGTCACTGAGGGGACCGGTTATTCTGAGGAACATTGCATGGTTACCCACAGTAACCCCAGAGAGCTGCCAGCTCCCATGCTTAGGCTGTAAATCCTGGCATGCAAACCCCAAACTCCTGGAGTCAAGTGACCACATGAGACTCTTATCTTACATTTCTCAAGTTCCTAGCCTTCGGGAGCTTGGAGTTACAAAGGTGATCAAGCTCTTATCTGCAAGCCAAAAGGCATGGAAACAAGCATTAGAGCAACTAGACAACATTATGAAACTAAACTCAGGAGGTGCAGTGTGTTAAATTTGCCCTATACAAGCCTTTTAATTGCCTAGATTAAAACATGCCAGCAGTGACCCCTGGACTACTGCATTCGAGTAACAGTGGCTTTCTAGCTGCTCAGACCTACACTGATTGAGCCCCGTACACCTCAGGGCTGCCAGCTCAGCCCCTTGCACCAGAGCTGCCCTTTTCCCAGGAGAGGTGACACCTGGACCCTACCAGAGCCCGGAGCAGATGGATGGCTCAGCACCTTCCCTCCCCAGGCACAATGTCCACAGTTTGAGTGAGGCCAAGCTGTGAAGGGCAAGTCAGGGCAGCCAGCCAGATTCTTTGGTCACTTTTAAATAACTGGAAAGAGGGATCACCCTTAACAGGTCCCCTAGCATTCATTCAGAGAATCAATGCTGAGAGCAGCTGCCAGGCTTAGGAGAGTCAAAAGCCAAGCCAGAACCATTGGACTAGATAAACTACCTGCCTTAGCTCACCGATCGCAATTGCTGCGTGTTACAGATCGAGGTATTTTCCTACATCAGCTCTTTGTTTCCTCCTTTTAACTTGATGGGATATCCCAACTCACTAACAAACCACAGAGCATGTCAGTATTGCCAGCCCAAAGCCAATTAATTGAGCCTAAATGCTGTTCGGACCCTTCTTAACCTGGCTTTGCACACACTCAGTACGGTACTGTATGGGGCACCCCGACATTCTGGGTTTCTGCTGGTGCCACTTACACCAGCAACTCACAGAGCCCCTGCTCCTTGGCTCCCCACTATCTTTGCAATAAATCCAGTGGCTCTGAGCCTTTCACTCTCCCTTTTAACGTTTCTTTTCTCCTGCAGGAAGATCAGTCAGTTCCAAGACTGGATTACTGGATCTGGCATTATCCCCATTGTCTTTGATTTAGAAGGATTGTTCGGTCTCTATGTTAAAAAAAAAAAAACAAAAAAAAACAAACCAAACCAAAACAAACAAACAAAACAAAACAAAACAAAAAAAAACCACAACAAAAACCCTGAAGCACCAGGCTATCTGCTTTAAGGTTTCTGGGAAAATGTATCATTATTAGCAGGTTTCCTGGGTATTGGAGTTCCAGTGCCTAGCAGATGCTTATTGCAGGGGATAGCTGCATCCGCAGACACACATCTCCTCTGTACATCTGACATTCCAGTCTCACTGCCCTTGTTTACTAGACATCTTTAGTACTTCTGCAACATGCAGATGACAACTGTTATTGAAGCAAATATAGCATCATTATGCAGATGTATAGCTTAAATATGCTACCTGTGAAACCATCTGTTATGAGAAAAACCTTTACATAGCCAAGAATATACTGCTCTCCCTTTAACATCCAATCTCTCACTTACCAGCAAATATTCCCATAACAATACGTGAAAAGATGATTACTTCAAAGGTTTCTGCTAGTTCTGAGGTTCCCATAAGGAGTGCAGCAGCAATGGAGAAGAGGTTGTTTATCAGTAAAGTACCCTTTCTGCAAAGTAATAGGGAAGGAGACAGATTCAGTTTATTTTTTTTAAGGCCCAATAGCAGACACTTTCCGTCTGTATTATACTGTCCAAAACTCCAATGAATCACTATCCCAAACACTAATCAAAGAGAAAATGGTGATTGTCCCATTTTTTTCCTGCAGGGAACAAAGGCTTCAAGAAAGAACTGAAGTTTCTCAGGAAACTCGAGCAGCAGAAGGCAGGCCTGATCTCAGATCCCAACCCAGGACTTTCATCGTTGCTCTCCTCCTGGCTCAGTGCCCAGCATAGAGCCTGGCCTTGACCACACTGAAACCATATAAATTCTTCTACATGGGAGAGACAACGTGTATTGCCGAGTCCAGCAACTAATCACCAGCCCATCTGCCTTGCCATCAAGGTGGTGACACAGTCACGCTCCTCACGGGCTTGGCAAGCTGGAGTGACCGGTGAGGCAAGTCTTATCTGAACCTAGCAAACTGCTGGTGAAGGACGTTAAACACCGCTGTCACGTACCGGCCACAATTGTTGACCAGAGGCCACACCATCAGGGACCCGAAGAAGCCACCCAGAGGGTACATGGACACAGTAAGTGACCAGAGCAGCGTCTGGAAGCTACGGTCCATTGCCACTCCATTCCTCTTGAAGTAGGTTTTGTTGTAAAAGTCTTGCATGTACTAGAACAAAACACAGAGCTTGTTTAGCACAGTAAGTAAAATTTTCATGCTGGAAAAGCTAGTTAACAAGAAATGCCATAAAGCTTTTATCGCATGCCTTCATAAAAACCAGAATAGCTGAGTTGGAAAATGAATGCAAGAGAGGGATGGAGGAGCCTGGACTAAACTCTTACTCCATGCTATCCTGCCTTACAGGATTTGCCTGGTTTCCAGAAGGGAAAACATTCCTCATGCCCCATCTCTGCTGGGCTAAGTCCAAACAGTAGAGTTATACACCTTAACACGTCCCTTCCCTTACTGGGGGAACTGCTTCTCACCACAAACACCCATCATCAACTGTCACACTCCTGCCTTGCTCTGCTTGTAAACCCACTGCCGGGTCATGGTCCACTCCACAGTCCAACCTACCGGGGCTGGAGAATTGATCACAGACACATTATAGCCATACTGGAAAGATGATCCAAACCCAGATATCAGCGATACCAGCGCAAGCGTCAGTGTCATCTTCTGCTGAGGGGAAAGAAAACACACAGACAACACCGTAGAAGCAGGTTTGGCTTTTAGGCACAAATGGTGTTCAGTAAAAACATAGAAATACCCTAAGACTCACCTTCTGTGTTTTTTCACTTCATGTTACAGTATAAAGAAAGCCCAATGGGTTGTTTCCATTAGAACTCATTTTGTTCTGCTTGATTTGCACACAGTCATTAAGGTAATTCATTCTACTCTTTCCTGGTATTGATAGATCATTTGGATGATGAATAATTTTTAAGTTATCGTGCTTAAAATACCACCCCGCAGGGGAAAAAAATAAAGAAAAATTGCATGGAATTATTCTAACATACGAATTGGCTAGCAAAATAACCCAGGATATTGGCACAAGAAAGCTTCAAAAAGAAAAGATTTTGCATGAAGTGGCCAAATCCCTTTCCTGTTTATTTGTTCTGCTTTCACATGCAGGCTTGTTCTGCCTCCCACAATTCAGGATCAAGCTGTTTATGGATCTAATCTGATTGTCACTTGTCAGCGAAGCCAATTAGATCTTAATGCAAGTAGCCCAGTGAGGGTTTGGTTGGGGGGTACAGGAGCAGCATTTTGCAGTTCAGCAGAAGGGTGAAATTGCCATCCGGAGTGGGATCAAACACAAACCATGTTTGTAGGTTTGTGGGAATCCTCAGGGTTACAAGCAACTTGTTTTTCACATCCATTTAGTTACTATTCAGTCCTCGGGCTGGCCTGATTGTGTTGACTGAACTGGTTTGGTTGGTTGGTTGTTGGGTGTTTTTTATAGCTCGCTAATGTATCTTCTTGCTGCTACATCAATACAGTCATTTTTCATTCAAACGCATATAATATTCTGTCTCCACCATTAGCCTTTACGTCCCAACACTCCGCTCAGGTCCCATGTGAAGGGTCTGTCATTTCCCTAACTGAACGTTTGTCCAAAGAGCTGCTGGTACTCCTTATATTCCTTATATTCCTCAGAAACTCTAGCAGCTCACCTCCAGACATCTGCAGAGTTTAAGGCACTGTAGGACACCAAAACTCAAGTCCATCTCAGAGTAAGGATCAGAAGGAAGCTGAGGCTTCCAGCTATATTTTCTGAGTAGACTGTTGACATTCTCACACTGGTGATGAGAAGTAGGCTGCCTTGTTCTCATTAAACAAATCCCAGGAGCTCAGAAGAGCTGCTGGTGTTAATGATTCGTATTCAGCACTTTTAGGAAAACATCTGGCATTGCATTGTGCAAGATACCACAAAGGCAGCCCCCATCCAGAAGCATCTGCAGCCTAAAACTGATTAGAAATTAGGAAAGAAGACTCTCATGCAGAAGGGGACAGTTGCACAGAAGTTACGTGGAGAGGTCAGCTGCAGACAAAGAAATTCATGAGACCCAGTGCAACACTGTGCTGCAGACAGACATAAGCTGGGTTCAAGAACATACACATCTGCTCTCCCTGTGAGATCAGTTGTGGAAATGTTAAGCCTGAAAGATCTTGATCTTGCCCCTCTACAAGGACCTGCAGATCTCAGACAGCTTGCTCTGCATCTTTGTGGGAAGCTGAAGTTGGGAGTGTAGAGTCCAGCATACTTACCCCCTTTGAACCTTCATTGTAGTCAGAACTCTCCTGCTTATTTCCTTTCATTTTGGTGCTTGAATCACAGACACCGAGTATAGGTTTTTATAGCCAAAACAGACAACGCAAGGGAGGGAAACGCCCTAGAGAGAAAAACCCCTCTGTGACTTTTCAGAAAACATCCAATCAAGAAGCTCTATCAGCAAATGTCAATTGTTCTTGTCTGATTGTTCCCTTACTCTGTGTGACTCCCTCGTGTCTTCTCTTTCTTTTCCTTGTCCAAGTCCGTCGCCGCTAGGTCAGATGTTCTTCTGCCAGATCCTGACTCAGAACAGGTGCTGCCTAGCTACAGGAGGAACAGGCTCATCTGGTCAAATGACAGGGGCAGATTTATTGCAAAATCTGCTAAATGAGCTGTTTTCTCCCAACTATACGTACGTCGACGAGTCTGTATCAACCGAGTTGCTAGTCCTTCCAGCTGCAGCTCCTGGGTAGCTGTGGATGGCGTGGCTGGAGTCGGGGAGGCTGCCTGGCAACTGCAGCTTTCCAGGGAAAATGAAGCATTCTGTGGGAGCAGCCTTGGCAACAAAGAGGATGTTTGCCATGAGCCACAGCCATAAAACTCAACTGGCATTAACCCTCCCTGCAGCCACAAATTGCCTATCTGCCCTTGGGCTCAAGTACTGCTCTCCTTGTCCTACCTTACACCACCCACTCGCTCAGGGCGCTTCTGCAGTTTGCAGAGAACAGGTTCATCCTCTCACATTTGTGTGCCGACTCTGCGCAGAACAGTTTTTCCACCAAATCACATTAGTCCCTTTCCCTCTACATGCAAGGTATACCACGTGTTACTGGCTTAGTATTAACCTCCTACACCATGAGACTACTTTGAACAGTCCAGGACTTGGTTAATAGTTGACTACCATTTCTAGAGTTTATCAGAGAAATGCAAAGTTCACAGATAGCTCCAGCAGTCAGAAATTGGAACCAAACCTTGTTGTTATTGCTCTGTAACAGCCATCTTAAAAAAAAAAATAAAATTAAAGGATGCTCTTGGGCAACAGGAGTTGTTCGTGTGTCTTTCATGCATTGACTGGTTGCAGCCTCCCTTCCTCTAGGTGAAAGCATCCTGCTCGAAAACCAGGAAGGGGAACAGAGCCCAGTTGCTTTGAGGGTAGTGGAACTTAGTCCCTAGACGTTCTGTCATTTGTCTTTTATTGCATTTGATGTAAGTTAATGTCCTCGAGGATGCCATTTGCTAGGATATCATGGCAGTGGATAGCACCTCACTCCTGTGTCCTTCAGGAACTACTCCTGCTTCAGTCCTACCTATCATGGGGCATCTTAACTGAAGAGAGATGCAAACCAGAATATTCACTTCAGCCACCAGTCACCTCTCCACACTTCCCCCTCTGCATTCCCACTGAGAGGATGGAGCGAGCTGCCACTCACCAAGACACTCTGAGCTAGCTCAGCTTTTGCCATGCTGCCCTCAAACACTGCTCAAAGCACCCCAAAACCAATGGGACAGGCCATCGCTCACTCAGCAGCCAGTTCAGTTCTCACTTTCACAGATCTTTAGTCAGAAGAGGGAAACTGGAACGTGAACCATTCTGCCCCAGGGGTGGGGAAGTTGCAAGGAGGACAAACTTCTTCCATGAAATTCCTTTTCTTTAAAGACAGTGTCATTCTTCTGGGAGCTCTTGGCGGAATGACAGCCACTCTGATTCTCAGTAATTATAAGAGAGAAGAATTCTCTATCGCAGTCTTTCAACTCCTTCCCTGAACTTGGAAGAAATCATCTTGACACATACAGAAATCAAACAGGACATGCATGTTTGCCATCAGAAATCAAACCTCCATCAAAGTAAATATTTGCTTTCTGCAGCAGAACATTTGGAGTATTTGCCATTCACAGCAAGAATCTGGTAACAACATCCACAAGGTAACTGGCACTGGGGTGATCTTGGAAGAGATCGATGAAGGGAGACAGGATGGTGAAGGAACTTCTTGGACTTTCAAAGCAATTGCAGGGGTATAACTTCTTCAACAGCCGAGATCCTGTTGGACTTGGGCAGAGAACAGAGCCAGTAACAAGAGAACCAGTTTTACAGGCATTTTACAAGCACATTTTCAATTTCAGCTACAGCACACATTAAGCTTCTTACATCTGCTCTTCACTCCAGAGTGCATTTATTTGCCTGCAGACATTAGCTCAGCTCTGCACCTTCTCTCCTCTGCACTTGTCCACCACGTGCCGAGTTCCCATGCGTGTGTGCAGGGAACTATTCACACTCAGCCCAATTGTCTGTGCTCAAAGCCGGATCCTATGAAATCCTGGTATCTCTGGCAAAATAATTCAGAGGGGAAGCTTATCTTCCAGAACAAATCTGCTGGAGAACATCAGCAGTGAGCTATACAAAAGTGATGGTAGGAGCTGGCAGTCAGCCCTGCTGCAGTGGGCAGACGGCAACGCTTGCAGTAAGGAGACTCATTAGGGGACATCCCACAGTAAATGTCCCAGAGAGCGACATTAGCAGCATTTTCACCTACATTTGGGACAGAATTGCATGTTCAGGCCAAGCTAATTCAGTATCATATGCACTCCTGAGCTACAATTGGGGCTTCCAATTGAAACAATATTTCAGGTAACAAATTATTTGCCTGCAAGTAAGTTGTATACAGAGTATGCTTTATCAGCTGCATAAATGGCTCCCAGTCAGTTAAGCAAGAGACAGACATAGCAGTGTGATCCCCTAGCAATAGGAAAGGGCATTGCCAGAAAATAAGCATACGCTACGGGTAAACAGCAAACAAAAGCCCATCCCCTCCCCAGCACTGACATCACACTTCCAAAGCAAGAACAGAGGGCAGCCTGGGCTTTGGCAGGGGACATCTGGCCCTCAGAGCACACGCCACGTCCTGCTGCTGGCGAGGGCTAGGAGGCTGGGGTGCTACACCCAGACTTCCCTGAGCACCAAGGGAGTCTGCAGAGCTCAGCTGTTCCCAGGAGGCAATAAATATGCTGCCACCACAAACCCTGATGAGGACGACCCCTAACCACCAAGGAGGAGGAATAAACCATCAAGAGGAACCATCCATCACCACCACCAAACAGGTGTGTTTGCACGCTCCTGTCCACATTCAAGTGAAGAACAGGAGCCAGTCTGGAGCTCCCTGGAACATCTCACACACTAGGACTGAAATCCACGCCCAGGATAGTCCTATTTGGCAGCTCCTGCAGTTTTCCTAACACCATGGTATTTGTTCACCCCAGAACTCACAACGCATTCGCCTTGTCAGACAGAAAAGCAAAACCCCAAACAATTTTTAAGATTTATAGTGGTGGGAGAGGGAAGGAGGGAGGAAAACCAAGAAGTTGCGAGTACAGCCAAACAGTATCTTCCAGAGGATCCTGAGCAAAGCTCAAGACCAAAGCAGCTGGGATCCGAACACCGAGGAGCAGTGGGTCCTTTCTGTCTGCTCAGCCACTCCAGCCGTGCTTTTCCCCAGGCTTTAGCTCCCTCTGTGGGACTCTGGGATGATCCTGCACCTGCTCAAAATGAAGCACAGTTAAAATCCAGGGCTGCCCCATCGTCCTGCAGTCCGAGCACAGGTTTGCCCGAGGCAGGACGAGCTTGCTGCAGCTCAGTCCTCAGGAACAGCCCCTTGCAGGAGCTGAAAGCAGGCGTGATAGACCCGTTCCTAAAGTACAGCAGGTACCCCAACCTCGGGCACCTTCAGAAACAGCCGAGTTAAAATCCTCCAGCCCACACCCGACAGAAAGTCTTCAGAGTCACCTTCCCAACCCAGAGAGGCTGCGGGCAGAACGGCACTGCAGCACCACCCTGCTTGTGCCCTTCATGCCAGAGACTGAGGGGGCCCTGCCAGGAGCAGCCAAGCCTTTCTGCACTCCACCTCCCCTATTATCCCACCTCTCTTTATATCTACACTGGAGGAACTACAAACACTTCTAAGAGGTTCTCTGTTGGCTGTTGGTCTTTCTCTGTTCTTGCCAACATGAAGATGTGGGAGACTTTCCGCTTGTATCAGCACAGGTGCTATTGCCAATAGCTGCCCTTTACAGACCAGTGTGTTTCCCTGAGCCCCTGGGAGCTGGAAATGTAATTCTGTCAGGCTGCACATTCCTCAAAAATTCTGCCAAAATGCACATTTCTCAGAACTCTGTTATGGAAAAAGGCAAACTGAGAACAGGGAATCTGTTCTGATTAGTTTGGGGCGAGGTTTTTTGTGGGGGTGGGGTGGGGTGGTTTTTTGTGTTTGTGGTGTTTTGTTTTGTTTTCCCTTAAGCCAAGTCGGTGACAATTTTACTTCCTCTCTTCAGGCTTGGCTCCAAATAAACTGAACACAGCACAATTCTAAGTCTCATAAAATTTAAGATTTATTATCCTGTCTTGCTGCAAGAAGTTTTTAACACAGCTTCTCTTTCCAAGCAACATGGGATTAACATGAGGTTGAGCTACCAAGGTTGCTACTCAACTTTTACAACTTTAAAAAAAGCCTTTTGTAAGGAAGAAAAACCTCTTGGAAGTCATTTAAGGGTGATAAGATGCTTGCATCTACCCTTCAAAGACTCTAGGGATGCTAAAGAGCTGAGCCCCCTCCGCAGCCCCATGAAATAGGCTAAGGAGCTCTTGAGGACTCCACTTTCCCATGTTTACAGAGACTGTGTACAAGGGGGTTAAATATATTAATATAATAATAAAGTTAATGCCAAGTCTTCAGTTCAGGACATAATGGCACCCGCCTCTGCCTATAGTCCCACAAGATCACTGTATCACTTGACTGTTCTGCATGCTGTTAAAGTGATGAAAATTAAACTAATAAGAGCAGCTTTTGAACAGCTGGGTGCCTAGAGCAGTGGGAGCCTGACAGCTGCCCTCTCTCCCCAGGCAATTCATGAGGCTCCTGTTCTTTTGCAAAACCTTGTTATACAAATTAAAAAGAATTGTGAATTGATTTTTTAAAAAATACCTCTGGTTTTTTGAGCTTTGTGGTCTGGGAGGACAAGAAACACATGTACATGAGAGGTCTACCCAGAGACATCCATACCCAGAACAGGGTGTGCTTGGCAGGAGGCTCAGCCCCTGCCGTGCCCACCACCCCAGGCAGACTCAGCACCTTTCAGACTCAGCCCTTTCCACCGAGCGTGACCTGCAGGTTAGTGTAACTGCACAGGCACACAGGGTTTCATACTCTTTCTGAAGAGACTGCAGTTCCCAGCACATCAGGGTTTACGGTTACTGAAGCAGTCAGGACACCCGCTCTAGGTTCCTTTAGTCACACTCTAGTTACTAAAGAGAGTGCTACCACTACCTGCTACATAGACAGACACCCACACAGTACCCCAACCCTGTGTGCTCTTAAATAGATTCAGTCTTGACACCCCTGCATGTTCTGCAGGTATCACTCACAAGGTCAAGCACAAGGAAGCAGGATTTTTATACAACCAGACCCAAGCAAGGCCATCGGTGTCCAGCCGTGTACACGAAATAATGAAGGGCTTCTGTCAAAGTTTTTCTCCTTTCTGTGTAAGCTTGGATGAACCACTTATCCGCTGGGGGGTTTTTTATAATCATCAGCAGGGATTGCATTACCTCATGAGGAACACTTGGGGCACTAAAGACATCTGAACTGTGCAGTACTGAGAAATGTGTGTGCGCATGGTGTTTTACATCATGAGGAGCCACTAATTTCTTTGAGTTTTCACTGGTGTCCTCTCCTTGCTGGCCAGACAGCACTGCAGTTATCTCCTCACTTTACAGGCTTGAGTAACAGACCTACCCCAGCTCAGAGGGAAGGGGAGTGGATCAGTTCTGTAAATGGTTTCACCCCAAAGGAGCATGATGGGGTGCTGCTGTAGACTCAGTCAGGGAACCCCCCCTGAGGCAGCAGAAACCTGCCTCTGTCAGCTGCTCACCGATGGCTGTTCCTCACCCCTCACATCATGAAGCTGCACGCAGGCAGGGCAGGAGGAAAGACTCACACTAGATATTTACCAAGAAAGAAGAAATCAGCACTGAGATGTAGACAGTCCAGGCTCAGGTGCTTGAAAGCAGGGGGTCTGTCCGCTCAGGGCCTGGTACATCCTTGTCCTTGTGGGGTTCTGGGCGCTGCCAGTAGCTGTTTGATCTTGGCGAAGGCCAATCCAGCTCATCGTAGTGGCAACAGCAAATGGAGGAAAACAGCCGAGTCCGCACCACTCGCGTACAGAGGACAAACATAATGCAGTTGGCACCTCCTTGGAACGTGTTACCAATTCCCTGCAAGAGCAAAAATAGAATTAACCACTGCTGCTGCTACAGGCACCCCCCAGAGAAGAGCAAACATCGTGTCAGACCAGCTATAGACCTGCCCAGCTGACAGTCAGCAACTTCCACCTAAATGAGAGAAACAGATTCAGAAAAACCAACCCTGCACCCAAAATCAGGCAGACAGCTGTTGTGGGTTATCGTTTTTACAGCCTGTGCTAGGGCAGGAGCAGGCTGAGCCCTGCTGAGGGACAGACCCAGCAGTTCTGGTCTGAGCCTGCTTTTCCTACAAGCAGCCAGCGTTACCCAACACTCCTGTTGCAGTTGTTCTCTGTAGCCACTAGATGCTGCTGAAATAGCTGTTGCTGAGCATCCCAGACCTACCTGCCAGCAGAGAGCCGATTTTCTTGCAATGTGCTGCATCCTGCCACAGAAGTGGTATTCAGAGCAACAAATCTTTATCTCCCTCCCAAATCCTCCTTCTAATGCGTTTCCTGACAAATACTTACATGCAGGACAACCAGGACTGAATTTTGCACTGCAGGGGAGTTACAGAGAGTCAGAATGAATCGTACAGTGCTCCACACACGGAGGATGATAAAGATGACAGGGATGAGAATCAACTTCTTATCTGCTATGGAAGTCCGGGGCTGAAATGCAGGTGCTCTTGAGAGAATGGGGCGATACTCTGAGAGAGCTGCATGCTTCCATGGAGGGTGGGAGGGAGACAAAAACATGAACAAAAAGCTACACACATTGGACATTGAGCTCCAGGGATTCTATCTAAAGTAAACTAAATTTTTGCATCTTGCAGGAAGTTAACAAGGATACTGTTACGAGCACCAGTCTCCAGCCAGATTCTGCGTTTGCTAACACAAATGTTCCTGCTGAAGCCAAGGGGTGGCAAATAAAGGATATCCGGTCCTTATCAGAGTCCCATTAAAGGTTTATATTAACTAGCATCAACTACATAGTTGCCAAGAAACCAAGTCATAACAATGTACAAAAAAAAAAAAAAAAGCAGTGCTCCACAAAATTGTTTTGCTGGGCCACTGCTTCTGGCTTTTATGTATATGCACGCATATGGGGAGAACTCTGGCTCATCCTTCTGAAGCTATTCAAACTTCTGGCCTTCACCATGGCCACAGCCAGCAAGTTCCACAAGGAATTTATGTCCATGTGAAGCAGTCCTTCGGTATGCTTGTGTAGAAACTGCTGCCTGATTTCTGACCATGTACTGTCAGCAATGGGCTTCCATGGATTTGGACAAGCCAGCAAACCTCTCTATCAGCAACGTGTAGAAAAAAAATCAGGGTTGTGTGCTCTGGATCAGGGTGGTTGGATGTGTTAAGGCCCATAAGACATCCTAGGGTAGACTCTCCTGGATGCACTCAGATTCCTGGATAGGGGAGAGCAGGTGAACACAGCCCAGAGCAGCTGCTGGGACACACCATGATGAATACCAGGATGTTAATGTGGGTGAAGAGATTAAAGCTCAGGATAGCTGACCTGCAGAAAACTATTCCTCCTACCATCAGGTCTACAGAGTACACAGAGCTTTGATGCATAGTTTTCTCCTTCACCTCAGTACTCCCAGTCCTGACACCTTACTTCCTCCAGAACAAAGCTGCAGGACAGCACTGCACAGTGGCCTGCCAAACCCCACTGAGGGCTTTCAGTGCAGCTTCCCATCCACTCCCTTGCAGTATTTTCCATCTGGAAAGCCCCTAATACACATCCTGTGTGTGTCCCCCACAACAGCTACTTCCATAATTTCTCCTGCCTCTCGGGCTGTGCAGGGGGCACTACTCCAAAACCCACTCAGTCATCAGCACAGCCCAAACCCAGCCCTGGTTGCCTACTGCTCTTCCTTGGAAATGGAGAGCTCCTGCAGGTAAAAAGGCTTCGTAAGCAGGCTACCAGGCTTGGCAAACCCCCTAATGATGCAAAAGAGAGATGCTCCAGTCCACAAGCCCCCGTGTGCTGCTGGTCCAGCCCTCAGACCCCCCATTAAGAGAACAGCGTGACAACTGCCTGGCCTCAGCTTTGCTACTTGTGAGAGGGTCAGGGCTGGGAGTGGGGAAGGGAGAGCAGATGCCCAGGAATCCCTGGCAGAACAGGAGGCTGAGAGCCTGGCCAGGGGGTCAGGTTTCTGGACAGCCACACTGCTATCTTTGACAGCTGCTGGAACACAGCGTCCTGGCTGATTTATGTCAAGTGATGCTGACAGGCACTCACAAACCCTTTCCAACTCCCCTTTCCCGGGTCCCTTAGGACTGCTTAAGACTATGTTGTTCTTCCAACTCATCTGCAGAATCCTGACCTAACTAGATTTGTGTTTATCCCTAACTACAACTGCCATAACTGCACCGCAGCAAGCAGGATTGCAGTGGCAGCATTTCTCAGAAGGATATCTATCCAGATGTAGGGATTTTTTTCCCTAATACAACTTAGAGAAAAAAGGAATCCCTGGATGTAGTTCCTTCTGCCACTCTCAATCTACATTTCTCTGGTATGCAAGTATTTTCCTAGATGCCTGGATTCTGTGTGTTCACAAGGAACAGCAGCAAATTAGCCTCTGAACTCTGAAACCCTCCTAGGACAGGGTGTCTTCCTGTATTGTGTAAGCATATGGTGCCTAATGCTATATAGCACCGACTCCCAAATGGGGCTTTGTGCTGCTAGTACAAAACAGGTATCCATAAACACAAACTATCATTAGAGATCCTGAAATGACTGAGGCTAGGTAAATCCAGATGCCAACCTCAGGCTTGGCACAAGTGGAACTGTGGAAGGCTTATTAAATCTGAATTTTGTCCTTCACATCCTGTTTTAATTCTTACTGTGGGATTTACATTTCAGTCATGTAAATCCCAGAGCCCTCCTAAGTTTTCAAAAGGCTTTTTGCATTCTTCGTGTGCTAAGTCCCTGTGTAATGATGCTGCAGGCTGCTCAGTCAGGTGTACTGCTTCTGCTAGTGCATTTTAGTGCTATCTGAAGCAATTCCTGCCTGTGTAGCTGCTAAATATGCAGCAAAATCTTCAAAGCATGGCAAGATATAATCACATAGCAAGTCTGCAACCTAAGCTGAAAGCAGAAAAATACTCACCGCTCTATTAATGTGCTTCTTGATGAGGATGTAGAGCACTGGCAAAATCACATAGGCCAGTATCTCCCAAACTTTCCCCGTTAACAACATCCACAAGACCCGATCCTCTGCATCCAAGTTGACCCAACACCAGCCCACAGAAACATTGGAGGCATCGTAGCCAATCTTCTTCAGAGCAACAGCCGCCACCGTAATGCCAAGGGGGACTCCCCAGCTGAGGAAAGAACACGAAGAACAAGGTTAAGCAAAGAACATACTCAGTTTAGTCCCTCCACACCTCAGGGAAAATGGGTGACAGACCAAGGGATTCTTCATCAGACAGGATGCCAATATCTGGGCCGAAGGGAAGCAATCAACAAACAGGTATTTGACAACATATGAATGTGGACAGCAAATCCACTTCCTAGGGACCTGCTCTAGGAACTTGGATCCCCAGTCCTGAAGGACAGATGCATAATGATGTGCTACGCTCCAAGCTGGAACCTGGCCTGCACAGCAAGGAGGCGAGCAGCAGACATCCCACCCTGGATACAGGTGAGATCAAGGACTTGACAAAGCCAAAGCATCATACAATGTGACTGTCCTGTAGGACCCAGCCATTCGAGAGCAAGCTGGTGGATTCAGAGCTTTCAGAACATAAGCAACCAAATCCCACACACTGATTCCTAAGTGACACTTAGCACATAAAGAACCACCACACAAAGAAATCAAATTTTTTTTTCCATTAGTGGGGGTTTTGTTTGTTTTGTTTTTAAAAATGGAAGTACAGTCAATATTTTGGAAACAAAAGGATAATTTCTGAAGGAGAAAGAGCAAGTTTCTTCCCAAAGAAAAGCACTGGCAGTAACAGCAAAAAGAAAGCAAACAGGAGCCACATTCTAGTAATTTGGAGCTGTGTTTTGACTTTGGCTTCTCTCTTGACAGCAGAAGCATATATAGGGAAGCATTTAGAAGAAAAATAACTGTGGTGACACACATGAATTAAGTCACACAGCAGCTTGGGCTGCCCACAAAAACCCATGAGGAAGAACTGAAATGTTCCATGAGCCCAAATGTAAAAATACTCATCCCCTTCCTGGGCGCTGCTGATACCCAGGACTTCACAGGCTTTGCCTAACCTGTGACGTTCAAATCATTAATGACTCCACAACTGAAATACCGCCCTGCATTCAACTGAATGCACCACCTGCCCTTCCCATAGTTATCCTCAGAGAAAGGTTCTGTGGAGCCTTAAGAGGGACAAGGGACACTTCGATGACAGAAATGCCTCACAGAGTGCTCAGATGGAGCTCCAGCATAACCCTCCTGGTCTCTCCAGACACAACAAAAACAAAGCCATTACTGTATTGCGCTCATTACCTTCCTGGTTCACCTTCCTCCTTCAGTGACAGCCTGGAGCAGCTGCAGAGAGCATGAAAAGGATCTTCCTCCTAAAATCCGTTTCACATGCATCAGACTATGTAGGCAACCAGCAGTTGCCTAGACCAGATTATCTGAAATTCCAGAGCCCAACTGAAAAATCAGGGATAATCCCATGATATTAGATTTCAAAAATACCCCATTTCCTACTCAAATAATGTCTGGGTTCACCCACTCAGAAAACAAATGTAAATATAATGCTGTGAAAAATTCAGAGTCAACCTTTTAGCATGCCTAGAACATCTTGTTTCAACGTTCAGAACATGGAGTGCTAATCCAAGCCCGGGCTGTTATTTAAGGACAGTTCTGCTGCAGGAAGCCCTCCCCATGCTATTATCAGAGCAGGCTTTCTAAAAACATCCCAAACATCGCCACCACCATGGAATTCTCTACACAACTTAAGACTGATTTAATTAAAAGTGGTGACTTGCCTCAAAACAAGGATTATAGATGCGAAGACATTCAAATTTCAGTACACTTGGAAGAGCTAACCACTGAGGCAAAGAATTCAAGAGAACTGGCACTTCCTTAAAGAAAATATATTAAGGCACACAAGCACAAGTGAGTCCAGCACCAAGAAAAAGGAAATGTATTAATAAACTGATTTGCCTAAATCATGATCTCCACAGTGACCTGAAACTGAGAGTTATATGAAATGATAAAACCAGGTCAAATTACAATGCATGGATATAAAGCAGAACAGTGCTAAGCACATACAGACTCAGTAAGAGAGGTCATAGTAGGTAAAACTGAACTACCAGACAAAAGATTTTTAAAAAATCTTCAAGTATCTAATTAGTAAAAGGAAGAAGGTGGAAAAAAAAAACCTGTCACACATTTTCAGGTATCAGATGGCTATTACAACTAACACCAAGGAGTAAGGATTACAAACTCAAAGTTAGACTCTAGGAAGTCATTGGACATTTCAGTGAACTTCTTCAGCTTCATTTTAGAAAACTGGAAAGGAGAACTGAGACTAGTGATTTGCTTATTCTTAAGAACCCCTAAATGACAGATTCTGAAGGACTGGAAAACATCAATGCCTTATCTAGAATAATGGAGGAACATAAGAATCATAATATTATACATCCAAAACATACATAAAGACTGGAAAAAGAAGCATCCAAAATAACACAGAGGTGGAAATTTTACTCTAAGCCCCAAAGACTGCAATTGTGTAGGCTGGGGCTCTCAAAAGCACTCTTGGATCTAAATGAAATCAATGTGGGAGAGAAGGGAAAGAAGATTACTTCTTGCATCTCTGTAAAAAGGCTGGCAATCCCATCTCTAGGGCAGATAGAACAGTATTTATTTCCCTAATATAGCCCCTAGCAATCAATTAATAAAAAAAAAAACAACCCACACAACCCAGCTTATCTTTCCACATCAACACCCACGCTGCATTCAGACAAGGTAAAACAAGGACCCTTAAACTACAGCAGCGTACAGCTCGAGTTGTACTGGTTTTCTTGTCCTCAGTATGTCTGGGTCAGGTTGCTTAATACCACGTTTTGATTTACACTGCACAGCTGCCTGCCTTCCCCCCCCGACTCTTACAAGCAGGGAAGATTTGCAGTCACCTGCCTGCACAGGTTAGACAAGCAGCCATCCTGCAGGCAAATCCTTCTGGGGACAGGAATTTTTACTCTGTAAAGAGAGAAAAGTCAGTCTTCTGGATATAACAGCCAATTTCAGGGAAGAGCTTTGAGCACAGATTGCAGGCAGAACTCCAGACCAAATCTGCTCCAATTTTTTGCTCCCTTGCCTCAAACATCAAACCCTGTGCAGCACCCCAGTGCCAGTTCCCTGGTAGGAAGCAGGGACTCCTCCCAGAGCAGCATGCAAGAAGCTAAAAGCTAAGGCACCAGCAGTTAGGTAGCTCACACCTTGGTTGGCCCGACCTACAAGCGTTTATAAACAACATGATAAAGCCACAGGGAATTTCAAGAGATCCCTGCACCTCACAGGCAACACTCAGGAACTTAAGCCCAGCTCTGAAATTCAGCATTGGCACTGTCAGTCATGCCTGAGGCAGTCCAGGAGGACTCACACAGGAGCACATGAAAGGATCCGTGGACACGCATGAATATATACATACATATGTATGTTATAAATGTATAGATAAGCACACACATCTATTTTACTTATATATACACACAAACATATATATTTATAAAAGTGTAGGTATGCTTCTAACCATCTGTGCAGCCTGATCATGAAATGCAAATACTTCAGAGGTTGACAGCAAGTGCTGTATCAAAATGAAAGCAAGAAACAATCCCAAAGTGGGTTCTGGTCCATTCCTCACCCTGAGTCTGGATCACCTACTCTCACAGCAAAGATGACATTACCCTACTAAATGATACTCGATATTGAGGAATTCAGAACAAGTGAGGTAGCCTGGAAACTTACACTCTGGATGCCAGAACTTACACCTTACTACTGCATAAATATTTTCAAAGCCAACCCTAAGCTTGTTTTCAAAGGTCACCTGAGCTCATAAAGTTTAAAACCAAAACAAGAGCCTGCAGCTCTCCAGTCTAGCAGTAGAATAGGTGGATGTGTTACCACATGAATCAAAAAGGAACAAACCTGTTTGACAGGTTTGATCCAGTGTGACATCCTAATTTGCCTAAAAAGAAAATTTCAGGCACTGACTTCCAACACATATTTAGTGAGCTCCACTCAGCTAAAAACAAACAGTCTCTGCGTATACTCAACATTAAAGTATTCATCTTTACAAACACCTGTCCTTTACTGAGTAGCTGCTTGTGAGGAGTAGGAAACACACACAACAAAACTCCATCCTGCCTTAAATCCCTTCCAGAAGGGTCTCGGAATCTTTCAATCCTTAAAGCATCATCTGCCCTTTGCTACCTTTCCTTCTGCCCTAGACACGTCGGTCTCACCCACCTCCTGCAATAAAGTCCATACTAGTATCTTTTGTATCAGTTGCAGCAATTCTTACCTGCGTGGTACTAAACCAGATTTTGAGGCTAACAGCACCCTAGATAGCCAGCAGGACTTTGAAGCACTTAAAAGCAGGAGCCATCTTCAAGCATTATGTCCAGAATTTGATTTTATGATTGAGTTCTCAGGTAAGGATAAAAGCGCAGGGAAGGAAAGAAGGAAGATGTGTCACAAGGGGATGGGCAGAGAACAGGTCCTCACTTGTTTTCTCTGGCTTTTCACACAGATCATAAAGCAGGATGAAGCTTTAAGCACTGGCTCTGCACAGAATGGCAGTCATTTACGAAGCAGAAGCCAGCAATAGCTCTTCCATGAAAGCCACCTATACTGCCCTTTAGACAGAGCAAGCGGAGCTGATCAATACCAAGAACAGAAGATGGCATTTTTACTGCAAAGACCTGAAAATAAACCTAGCAAATTCCCCCAGAGGAAGTTCAGTTTGAACACTCCCTTCTCTCTGTCTCAGGGTTAGAGCAATCTTTCAGGATTTTTACAGTTCTGAGAGTGCACAGATTACAGCCAACATTATTTCAGTCAATCTGCCTGCTTCTTTCCGCACTTTGCAGCTGATGAGGCTGATTTGCATTAAATCAGATGAAGCAGTCAGAGTACAAAGGCCACACAAGTGATTAACAGACAGGAAAAATCACAATTAGGTCAGATTTGCATCAACTTTTTGCTGTAGCCTGATATAGCCAGCATGCCCATAAAGAAGTTGGACTCCTTTTTTCTGTTCCTTCAGCAGCACGTGGCTTTACTAGCACTCCATCCTCTCCATCTTTCTTATAGTGTAATTCTATTCACTTAAAATAAAATAAACCTCGCTGTCTCACTGCTTCTTTCAACTTCACCAACAACAGCCTGGTACCCAGATGATGCGCAGTCACCTCGGACTTCCTCACACTTGACAGTCCTTGCTGTCAAGCAATAATTAGAACAGGTGGGGCAGGAATTGAAGGTCCTCCCTGATTCACACCTTGCCTTAATGTCTTTCTCTGGCCCATCTTTACCTGGACTCAACTCCAACTCAATCAGCTTCCAAATGATGCTGGTTGAAAATAAAAAGCGACAAATATTTGACTGAGAAAGCAAAGAAAATTCAGTACTTGCCTGATAGCTTTTTTTAAAAAAAACCCAAAACAAAACAGATCATTCATCTTATGATTTATTGCAAAAGCTTGGCAGCACAGAGGACTAAGGGATCACTGTTTTGCTCAGCGTGGAGGTAGCACATGATTCCACAAGCTCTAATTGCGTAATGAAAGCTTTTACTAAACATGATGTGGAAAATCAGCTCGCTAAATAGCAGAAACCGAGACAAAGCCACACTGTGGTACGTTCTGTCTTGCTTTCAATCAAACATACCAAAACAACCCTCAAGTGCTTTTCTAGCAGCCTCTTCTCTTGTAGGCTACATTCTCCCCTGAGTACTGGGTTACAGCAACCTGCCTGGGGAGAGGGGAAGGATCTCAGACCAGGCTGCCACCCGTGGAAACAGATCCCCAACACGGGGGTTTGTCAAGCAGCAGGCAGGTATCCCAAACGCAAGTTTCACATTATTTCTCAGATGTCAGAGCAGGCTGCGGAGGGAAAGCAGAAGCCAGGATCTGCAGAGACTCTTGCCAGAGATTTTTTTGCTAGGTGACCTTAAGCAGAAAGTTTTTAACTTTTCCATGTCTCCGTTTCTTCGCTTTGGAAGGCTGGAGGGAAATAAGCAGGGCTGTTTAGTTAAAAGACAGCAGAATCCCTGTTTATAAGGGACTGGAGAAGGACACGCTACCGCTTAAGGGAAGAGCAGGTGACTGGAGCAACCATGCAGGCGCTTCGTGCGGACGGAGCAGAGCGTGCGGTGGCTCCCGGCCCCGGGGAGGGGGCCCGTGGGGTCCCGCACCTCCTGCCCTCGCAGGAACAGCCCACAGCACTCACCTCACGACGTGGAAGCAGCAGAGCAAGCCCGTGCCTGTGGGCGAGCCCCTCACGATGGTGATGTAGAGGTAAAGGGCAATGGCCATGGTCCAGAAGAAGGAGCTGGTGTTGGAGAAGGTGGACATGGCGCCCTGCAGCACGCAGTCCCAGGAGGTCCTCTCGAAGTCCTGCAGCACCCCGTAGAAGTAGGAGAGGGCAGAGAGGAGGTCGGCCAGCGACAGGTAGAGCAGGAGCTGGCGAGGCCGCGTCCGCAGCTCCGGCCACAGGGCGTGGGTGCAGACCAGGAGGCTGGAGCCCAGGAAGGAAAGGGCACAGGAGACCAGCACCACCACCCGCTCCGAGGGGTGCAGCTCCGTGGGGGGCAAAGGCATGGCCGGCGGGCGGGCAGGGCACAGGGACGCGGCCCCGCGCCCAGCCACAGCGGGGGAAACAAGCAAAAAAATTTTAAAAAATAAAATTAAAAAGCTGGGCGGGGAGGCAAACGCCCCGCCGGGCTCTGGGCGAGCGAGGCG